TGCTAAAACGATGGTGGAGTCGCACCACGCAGTAGCATCACTTATGCTTATTTTACCATTAAATAGTTCTAAATAGTGACCGATCAGACGAGCCAGAAGCAAAGCACCGCAAAGCTCGAGTCGTGGGATGGTTAGCTTCTGTCGCATAGGAGCAACTCTTGACCTACCGCGAAGGAGATGAACACTGACCTCGCCGGAAGAGTGCTGAGTACGAAGATAGATAACTGCGGCGTAACCGCTTTCGGATGCATCGCAGAATCTCATGATCTCTGATGCGTATGGTTGTGTACTGAGTATGTATCGTGGTATTTGTGGCAACTTAACGTGCTTAAATGCTTCGGAGAATGAATCCCACAGCATGATGATTTCTTCGGGAAGTTGATCGTCCCAGGACATTTGTAAGGCACAGACACGTTGCATCAGAACCTTAGCGTAAAACGTAACAGGTGCTAAATAGCCACACGGGTCATAGATGCGCACTATGTTAGATAGAATTTCTCACTTTGTCCTGCATCTACTGAAGCTTGAAACCTGATAAACGAAACTATCCGAATCCGAATTCCATGCCACCCCTAATACCTTAAAAATGCTTTCTCCGGACTCTTCAAAGCGAAGAGGCTTCTCCAGGTGATCATCAGGATATGCAGCCAGAATATCAGAATTGTGGCTAGCCCATTTGCGTAGCTGAAAACCTCCCCCAGCTAGAACTTCCACCAACTGCTGCTGAAGACGTTTGGCAGATGGAACATCAGAGGTACCGGTAATGATGTCATCAACGAAGGTATCATTCCTCAATGCCTCCGCTCAGCATTAAGTGCAGCTAGCTCGTGTATGACGCGCATAGCCAAATAAGCTGCTGGATTGACTCCATAAGTGACTGTAGTCAGCTCAAACAGTTGGATAGGCTGATCAGGAGACTCACGCCAGAAAATTTGTCTTCAGCCAACTGAATGTCTCTACATCTGCTAACGACCTCTTGAGAGACTTGAGTGCTAGGAAGAACACCAGTAATATGCTTTAGTATAACTGCAGTGGTTTCCAATGGCGGAGAGGTTGGATCCATTATAGATTGTATCGCACACTGGATACTTCAATTAGTGCGTTGTCCGCTAGATTCTCCCAAACCAAAGAGTGTGAGAGGGCTAGAACGAGGTAGCTGCAGTTTCCGTGCTAAAGACTCAGTGACAATTGTATTACAGTGTATTATTCGCATCTCGGATACCAACCACAGCCGTTCCCAAAACTACAGTAGATCTCTTGTGGATACTGCATGCAGGGTAAGTCTGGACAGTAGAGCTAAGTGTCGATACTGCAGCCTCTGGCTGGATAGTTGCTTCTTGAGAAGTACGAGTAGTGTTGCCTAAATGAAGTTTTGTATGACGACGGCCATGACAAATTTAGCAGCTGCTTTTAGACTGACATTTATTTATAGAATGAGTACGTAAACAATTAAAACACAATTTGTTATCAATGACAAACTTTTTACGATCAGCTGGTGTCATTGAGTTGAATTTATGACAAGTATAAATACCGTGATCACCTCCGCAGCAGTAACATGTATAAGGGAGTTTGATCATAAATGATTTTGATGAATTTGGTTGAGTGCTATTATGGCTGCTAGAGTAAGAAGTAGATTTGGATCCCATGACAGCTTCCAAAACTTTAAGCTGATTTTCCAAAAATTCAAGTAATTTGTTAAAGGTTGGAATGTCATTAGTTGATTCTCGTTGATGATCCGCCTCAAACTTGCTCCTCAAATCCATAGGAAGCTTACGTAAAATTATATGCAATAATATAAAACTCCAAGAGTTTTTCGCAAAACCTAATGCATTTAAGGCTTGAATATTTTCCTTAAGTGCATTAACAAGTTTCCGTAAGTTGCTGTTGATTTGTATTTATGTTTATGTTTAAAATAGCTTCTAAGTGTTTATCTGCAATTAATCTTTTATTTTGATATCTATCTTTTAATAAATTGTATGCAATATAGTAATTGCCTTCTGAAAGTTCTAAGTGTTTGATAAGATTCAAAGGTAGGGAACCTCCAGCACTGACAGTAGATAGTGCATCTTTTGTACACTAGGTAGCTCAACATTATCATGTACTAAACTATCAAACATTGCTATGAAGTTAGGCCATTCAGTATAAACACCAGAAAATCTAGGTAATGTTATTTTGGGTAAAGAAAAATGTGTTGACTTATGTACCGTATTTGTTTGTAATTCTTTTGACGTTTGAGGTTCGTTTCGTGGAACTAAATCACTTAATATCTGCACTGAATAATATTTATCATAAAAAGTACTAAACTGCTTTTCCAACTCCACTTTAAAACTTTCATCTGTTGACATAGCGAATAAAAAGTTTTGAGCGTCCTGGAAATTGTTACGATATACTTCAACGTCACGCAAACGAACCTTAAACGATGCTAATAATCCAGGGTCTCGTTGAGATTGTGAACTAAGTTGATTTGCTAATATAATGAATCCATAAACCTCAGACTAAATAAAAAGTATAGACGGAGTCTGCCGAACCAAAAAGTCAAGCCGATAAAACTACGCCTCGCCGTGTACATACACAGTTACACGCACACACATGCAACGAAACTACGCCTTGGCTTCTCAGTCGAGCTATCCCGACGCGCGGAGTGTGACGTAATAATAAATAACAATATTTATTAGAGAAAATGCCGAATTGTGTAGTGAAAACGTGTAAAAACCAATCTTCCAAGAATAAAAAACAGGATGGAATCACATTTCATACGTAAGTAAAGTTATAAACTGCTATTTTCAATTAATCAAAATCAAATTTGAGGTTGTCGCTTTGTAAACAAAACCTGAACGAAATGTTGCCATGATTATTCGTTACAGTTTTACCCTTTTGTTGGGTAGCGTGAAATATAACGTAACGTTATTTTATTATATACATTGTGTGGCATACTTTTATATTATTCGAATATTGTAATGCATGGATAAACAATTTCACGAAACATCTTTTTTCTTTATGAATTCGTATAAATTTTTTGGGATGTAATACACATTATTTAATATACGTTCTTTTTAAGATTTCCTAATCGAGATCAAGATCTAAAAGAGAAGTGGATTGCAGTCATTCGTAAGAGTAGAAATGCACCATTGTGGCAACCAGCTTCCCGCAGCGTGGTTTGTTCGACTCATTTTCAGAGCGACGATTTGTAAAATAATAATATATTTGTAATTTTATTTGTATTGTACTTTTTAATGGCCTTTTTGACCCAAAATTCGCGATGTTTGTGGATTTATTATATTATGTTCTTGTATAGGAACTAGTGATTATATTTTGTGTATTCTATAGAAAATTTCATGTACATTTTAATAAAAGAAACTGTTTATCAACATTTGTATATGCTTTTCGTTTTATCGACATAAAGTTGAGATGACTGATTTGTAAGCGATTTCAAGTGCCTTGTTGCGAGTGCTTGAAACTATAAAATGAACAAACCTATTCCATCCGAGACTTTTAACTAAAGTAAAATAATCAATCCAACATAATTAAACGTCAACACATAAATCAAAGCACTTGGATCTCGCATTTGTTTTTATCAACACTTGCAACACGACCCTTTTTTTCTGTTGCGTGTTATATTTTATAATTGTATTTGGTAAGTTATTATATACATTCATTCATATATAGTACATTCTATATGTACAAAAACCTGGATTTATAATTTACAAATTTTGAAAATACACCTCATTTTACCTATTTAAACGACTTTTTTTATCTTTCCTGAGTTTACCATAATGTAATTCAAATAAATTATAGACATGACGCATTGTGTACACACTGTTTTATTGAAAATTTTATGGAGAATCCAAATATACGTTTGTGAAGGGTATTTTTACAAAATAACAGAGAAATCGGCAGAACAATGCAATCGTTCCCACCCAGCGGGCGGGCGGTCCATAAAGAAGTCCGGCACTTGTAGGTGAGAACGGCGCATGACCTTTGGCTCACGAGAGGTTTAGAGAATAAGCTTACGATATTTTTTTCTAATATTTTATAACGTTATTAAAAATGTAATAACGTTATTACATTTTTCTAATATTGGGGTGTTTTATATGACTATGGTAACACTGGCTAATGCACTACATACATAAAAAACCGGCTTCACTTTTTGGTTCGGCAGACTCCGGGTACGGCCAGAGTGCACTCAGATTCAGATTCCGAAAACAAGCGCGAGAAATAAACAGTGTAGTCGAAGGGTACGGCCAGAGTGCACTCCTGATTCAGATTCAGACTCAGAAAACAAAACGCGAGAAAAAGCAGGCAACCAGCTTAGGGTACGGCCAGAGTGCACTCAGATTCAGATTCAGATTCAGACTCAGAAAGCAGGCTCGTGAGATGTCAGCTTGAGGAAAGCAGGTGATGGCCACAGTGGAGGCAGATAATACAAGACGCGGACGCGAGCACTGTTGCCAGGTTGGGGGAGGTTACTCCAAATTTGGGGGATTTTTAAAGCGATCGATGGGGGGATTAATGGGGAAAGAAACCCTACCTGCAGTCCGAGCGGCGCTGGTGAATTCAGAATCTGAATGACCTAAACATTCCGGTAAAGTGTCTGACTCCGAAACCTGCGCGGGCCTGCTGCCACTATGGCCACCCTGCTTTAACAACACTGTTTATTTCTCGCGCTTGTTTTCTGAGTCTGAATCTGCGGATGCGGCCAGAGTGCACTCAGATTCAGATTTCGAAAAGAAACGCGAGAAATAAACAGTGTAGTCGAAGGGTACGGCCAGATTGCACTCCTGATTCAGATTCAGATTCAGACTCAGAAAACAAAGCGCGAGAAAAAGCAGGCAACCTGCTTAGACTACACTGTTTATTTCTCGCGCTTGTTTTCAGAATCTGAATCTGAGTGCACTCTGGCCGTACCCTTACTGTTGACTGAATGTCAATACCAATACCTCAGGGTACGGGTACGGCCAGAGTGCACTCAGATTCAGACTCAGACAACAAGCGCGAGAAATAAACAGTGTAGTTAAAGCAGGGTGGCCATAGTGGCAGAAGGCAACCTGCTTAAACTACACTGTATATTTCTCGCGCTTCTTTTCTGAGTCTGTTTAATAAACAGTGTAGTTAAAGCAGGGTGGCCATAGTGGCAGCAGGCAACCTGCTTAAACTACACTGTATATTTCTCGCGCTTGTTTTCTGAATATGAGTGCACTCTGGCCGTACCCTAAGGCTGAATGATACCAGCAAGTAATCACAGATTGTAAAGACAAAATAAAAATATTATGACTTTGATAATTTTCTACCCACAAAACAAAAATTTTTACCCACGAATTATGATGATTGGCAAAAATTATAACGCAAATTTTGGAAAGAAAATAGATGATTACTAGGATGATTTACGGTAGGATTTATCGGGGAGAAGGACCAAAAAGGATTATGTGAGGAACAGAAAGTGATTTGAACTTACGATTTTTTATTTTCTCCGATAGCCTTTAGCGTTGCTTTCCAATTACAGAGCATAATGTGACTCAGTGCCGCACAATGCCGAATTATGCTGATGCTTAATTGGAACGTGAATTAGTTTTCAAATGCACCAGCAGAGTGCGCTAAGTTCAGTGTTGAAAAAAAGTCAATGTTTGTACCTTCATCCATATTTATATTTAATTTTTAACACAGTTTGAATTAACTTTGATTATTTAAAAAAACTATGATGAAACGAAAGTTTTAATAATTTTTCAACAATAAATAATATTACTAACGATAACATATTAAATAAAACATTTCGATCAATGCCAACTTAAAGAAAAAACACTTATTAATTTTCTGTCTCTAAGTTGGTACGATTGCACGCATCACACGAAAGCATCACTTTTGAGAGTGCTCAATTGTGCGAAGCGTTGCTGTAGTTGGAACACTCAACGTTAAGCATTATGCCGCATAATGCGCTATAATGCTGTAATTGGAAAGCTACCTAGAGCAGTGCCAGTCTGCCTGTATTTTCGTAAGTTTCCGGATGTTGTAGGAATAAAACTAGTTTTTACGGGTTAATGCACGAAACTTTATTTATTTATTGACGTTTCGTAGCCTTTACAGGCTTCGTTGTCAGAATAAAACTTTTTAATTCGCGCATTAACCCGTAAAAACTAGTTTTATTTAATGAGTGATGTGCGTGAGAAACAAATATGCTGTAGGAATGTTATCTTGAGCTAGTCCTAACTGTCCTTCACGTAATCTGTTGATTTGATGATGTTCTTTGTGCTCGTTGAACAACCGCCGCGCTGATTATATATAATTTGGATCGGGGCTTTTCGTAAGTCGACCGATCGCTATGGCGTCGTAGTTGTAACAGGCAGCTGACAGATACTGCCTGTCTACCCTCGTATTACAATAAAAAAAATGGGTGCGTGTACTTATGTAGGCGCGTGAGAAGTTATCCTTCTTTGGCATCGTTTAAAATTAGTTTTTAATTGCATGCAAATAATTAATTACAATAAATTAATAAAAAGTCTGGAAAAGGACACAGTCAATAAAGTTCAGTTTTAATTTGAAGAAAATAAATAAATAATCAAAATATTCAATTAAAATCGCTACTGAATATAATTTATTAGAACATATGTGATTTGCACTTGCATGAAACTCAAACACGTATTCCGAAAATACAAACTAGAAACATGTGGATAAATATTATAAATATGAATACCTATAACTGTTACTTTATTACAAAAAATAAAGATGTGGTTTTTGGTTCTACTACACCAATGGTCAAGAGATGGCGCTGTAGTCTCCTGAATCGCGCTTTGGTACCGTTGTTCCAGATTAATAAATACTTTTTGTTACTTTATTACAAAAAATAAAGATGTGGTTTTTGGTTCTACTACACCATTGGTCAAGAGATGGCGCTGTAGTCTCCTGAATCGCGCTTTGGTTCCGTTGTTCCAGATTAATAAATACTTTTGATAGGCCTTCACAATGCAGTCGTTAGCACCCACAAAATAGAGATTCTATTTCTATTTTGTTGGTAGATTTTCTTAATGTGCGGTAAACACAAAAGTAACAGCATGAAGTTGGTCGCTTTAGCGATTTAATTTTTTGTGTTACAGTGATGCGCGCGCATCTAAAAATTTCACTCTCATCATTTTTTGATAACGCGCCTAAAGAAGTATAACTTCAAAAAATCGTCCAAGGGATAGGAAAAGGTGGGTAAGTGGGATGTAATGTTACGTTATCTTAACTAACGCATTCAATATAATTTGAAACCGAACATATGTATATGATATTAGTGATGAAAATCAATTGCAAGTGTACAAAACTCCGATATACTGCGTCATTGCTACGTTAACGACGCACAACTTTAAAAGTATTTATTTAATAATAAAAAGATTTAAACAAATGTTGTAGGAAATTTAACTTTTATAAGATGTTTTTTTGTTAATTAATGGCATTTCAATGTTTTATAAAGGAAAAACCATAACTACATGTTTAAATAAACAACAATAATTGAAAAACTGTAAGAGGTACAAAAACATATATAAGACATAAAAGTTAGGAAATTTAGTAAAAAACAAAAAAGCGTAGTACATTTTTTTCCGTAAAGTCAATAATTTCGAAGTTAAAGCTATAAAAATGTTTCCCAATATGGCGGCCAGTTGTGGCCATCCTACATTTCCCCGATTTTTAAACTTAAGCTTCTTACGACCTACCCTTAAATCTGTAAAAAAGCTAGTGTGTGGTAAAATTTTGTTATACGGCTTTCCTCTATTGCTTGGGCTATACAGAGTAAGCCGAGCGAGTGAAGTGGTAAAGCTCGTTTTCTTTTTCTAGAAGTTCCTTCATTGGATAAAAGGTACTTAGTTAAAGTTTTTGTCGATCCCTAACCTCAAATTTGAATCTTCAATATCCCTGAAAGTATGCGTTTGCTTTGCTGGGGATGGGTTTTAGCTGAAAGGGGGAGTCCCCCTACCCCAAACTCGTAAAATTGTTGGCCACTTTTAGTACCTACTTATTCAGGAAAATAGTACCCTGACGGTCTACAATTTTATACCTAAAATAGGTAAGATACTTTCAAATTCCGGACAAATTACCATTTTCATACAATCAAAACCCATGGAAACCACAAAAATAAAAAGCCATTATGTTATAAGCATATTCATTCACTTTGCTTCACAAGTTTTCGTTATGACTGCATCATTGTTTCATTAATTTTTCACACAAGGGTAAGCAGGAGTTTTACGCCCCATTGCAAAAGCTAATAACAAAAATATTAGTTGAAGCAACGATAATTAATAACTAGGTAGGTACTTATAACAATAAAAATTAATACGGTTGTGGAAACTAACATACAGACAACGATCAAACTTTTGCGGTCGTAGTATATCCAGCCAGTTTTACGATTAATGCACTCGTAGCATCGCTCGGGACGCGTGCGGTACAAACTGACACAGGTCCAACCTTCAAAGGCGCTGGCGCCGTACTGAAACTGAACTGAACGGCGCGTTAGGGATATTCGATATACATCGATGCATCGAAAACATCGATGTTTGCAAAGAAAAACATCGATACGATCCGATGTTTTGAATAGCTTTCAATATACTCGATGCATCGATGTTTTAAAGAAACATCGAATTGGTAATAGAGTTTGACCACGTAGTGATAATATCCTCTTCGGTTTGACCTCAGTAAAAAAACTTAAGTTTGACCACTAAAATTTTACTTATTAGTATTATGAAAGCATCATTATTCTGAATTCTCTGATATGGACCCGATGTTGGCAGCACTGCGCAAGAGTCAGTGCAGTGACAATAAAAAAATAACTACGAGTTTCTATGTTTATAAACATTTAACTACCTTTAGTTTTGTGAAAGAAATTAAGATTGAAGTATATTTATAATATCCTTTTGACAGACTTAGCAAACATTTTGCGGGTTATTTAGCGTTTTTTTATATGATCTTTTGTAAAAATATGATACAGATTTTTCTGACACATGACTTTTACTTGTATTTAGTTTTACCTACTCATGATGAAAGGAGTTAATTCTATTATTTTATGAAAGATTAATATATAAACTATAATAAAATTATGGATTAAGGTCTTTTCATAAACTTCAATTGTATTTTTTTTTACTATGAAAAGATGGCCTCTTTTGAGATGGGTCACTTTACACATAAGTTGAGTTTTGTAATAAAATTTCAGAAAAAGTACTCGATGTTTAAAATACATCGATGTTTTCATCCGATACATCGATTGACATCGATGTATAGTTGCGATGTATCGAATCAAAAATACATCGATGTTTTTTCAGAGTGGACACCCCTACGGCGCGTAGATATGCACCAGTATAAATTGCATTTTACGGGTGATGTTTCAAGTCTTATAAAATAATTATTAATGAATTAATTATAAAAAAATATACATATTTCAGTAGTTTAATGATTGTAGATTAATTTTATGAAAGTTTTTGATACTAATTCTATTTAATTCAATATCAAAATACGAGGTAAACCTGCGTTAATTTTTGGGAAAACTCACGGAGGTTAGATGTTTTTTTAATAATTAAATGTTAATGAGATGGAATAATCAAGATTCTAATACATTATGTTTCAACAAAAACATATTTCTGTTGTCGGAGTAATTAATTTGATCTAATTTGTTAAACATTATTGAGAGATTGAGGCGTTTGAAGCTGTGCATATTATCGTTTTTTCCGTAAACTAGCTGCGGTAGAACGATCAGTACAAAAAAAGGAAAATAGTATTTGCCAATATTCTACATTAATTTTCAATAGGAAGAATAAATCTACTGTTTACTTCTATTGGAAAAAGTCAAAATCTCTTCTAAGGGGGTAAACGAGGAGCTCAAAAATTGCGATTTATTGCAAAAAATGTGAAAGGGCTCTTAATAGTACTACTTGTTTGTGTGCTTTATAGATTCATTTGTTCGCCTATCACACATTCAAGATTGTCGGAAAAGAAGCTTTTGTAATATTTCTATTGGAGTTTTAACCTGGTGAGAATATTTAGCATGATCTTAGTTAAAAACCAAACCGCGCCAATTAATTACTAATACAAATTTTTAATATATTAGGTAGGTAAATACCATACATTTACCAAATCATGTTTAACTGAAAAACAAGTGATTTCTTTTAAGATCTTGGTTCTCTTTGCTGTCAATATACATTCATATCATCATGGACGTATAAAAAAAGGCGGACAGAGTTTCGGCTAAGACAATACTGAGGCACCGTAATGGCGGCGGCTATTGATGAGTGAGTGAATTGTAGGGTTGCTAGGTTAGCCAATTTTTTACCAATAAAAACACAGTAAAAACATGAAAAAATTTTGATTGTTCAAAATTTTACTTTTTGCCCGACTGCGGAGGATAATGTTTTTCGAGCGTATGTATGTCTGTCCAATAATTTGGCACGCCCTACAGCCTGAACGTCTTGACGGATTTTGACATGCGAGGTATCATTTGATTTGTCGTGATTGTGTGAGTGGCACTCGATATATTAAAATTTCAAAAAAATCAAAATAACAGATTTTATGCGCCAAAATGAAACATTTTGAAAAAAAAGTATAAGTATTTTTATAACCCGTCAAGAGAGGTATCAAAGTGAAGGGTTTCAAAAGAATATTTAGAAAATATACATCTCGTGTACTTAAAAAATAAGGAAATTAAAAAAAATGTACTAAAAAGAAAAAAACAAGTCCAGTAGTCTAGAATTCTGTTTAATAAGGAACAAAGTTACTTTAACAGTCGGGACTCATTAGAAATTCTAGAATGTATCAAATTTTCTCAATATTGGGTAAATCAACTAAATATACATGGCCTGGCCTGCATTCTCTTTCATATTTCTTAAAATAAACTAACACCCATTGAGTACTGTTTGTAATTGAGAAGTTCCATTGTTTTCCTCCGAAAGTACTTATCAGATCTCCAGTAAACTAATATGCAGCCATCTCGCTAGTAAACTGATTAAAACAAAAAAAGAATCATCATAAACGGTCCACGAATCTCGGAGATCTGCGCGAACAACAATAAAAAAAAAAACAAATATGACGCATTGCGAACCTGTTTCTTTTCGAAGTCGGTTAAAAATTTTAATCAACCGTTTGAGGTAATGCATACGTAATAACACGCCGGAGTCCTCCTTTAGTTGTATATAAGTCTTGAGCTTCAAAATGAAGACTAAAAATGACACTACTACATATTTGTTTGGAAATCATTCATTTTCCAGTAATTTCTCCATACTACATTTTCTTTAGGAAATCTGATAAAAAAGAATAATAAATAATAGATTGAAGTTAATGTCAACTTTGGTTTTTAGTCCAGTCAATGAAGGCTTAACTTTACCATTTTGAGTTGATCACCTGCAACCAACGCGAAAATTTCCGCAAGGGTTCGTAGATTAATATACTAAAATTGCAGGGTGCTGCATTGACGGCAAAGAGTGAAAAAAAAATGCGAAATGGGTCAAAAACGAGTTTTTCGTCAATATCTCGCGACTGGCTGGAAAAATAGAAAAAGTTTCTAGTACAAAGTTGTAGAAAATTTAATTTCCTACAAAAAAAGGTATCGACATATTTTCGCGTATCTCCCATAGTTTTTGCATAAAATGCAATTAAAGGTGCAAAATAAGAAAAAAAAAAATATATTGTTAATGTTTTTTTTTCCATTTTTAAACGATCCTACGGGTCAAATTCAACAATCACCACTTATTGAAATATTTAAGGATGAGTTTTTGGCAGTCCACTGAAATGAAAATTGTCTACCGAAATGGTAAAAAAATTACCACCGAAATGATACAGCTAAGAACATCGCCTTTGTAGTAGAAGGGTTCCCTATTTTGAATTTAAATAAATTTCCTTATTCTTTGTAAATATTTTTGTTCATTATTTAATAAGAATTATTAATGAAGAATTAATTAATTGTTACTGCTATTAATTATTATTACTAATTATAATTATTAATATGTACATTTTCAAAATAACGAACAAAGCGCGTTTAGAAAGCGAGAAGTTTATTAGTTAGTAAATCGTCCCCTTAGTGCCAAAACCGATTATCTGCACTTTTCCGCTACTGAACTTTTATAATACCAATCGACCCGTCTCATTAAGCCGCATCTACAGGTAAAACCCATTATGCTCTACGACGAATGCTTCCTGATATAGCTAATGAATAAACAGAATAACTGCAAATTGTTTCCAAAATTCTTGATTTAAAATCTAATAAACCCATTCAAAACACTTAAGTTTGTAAATGTATTATGCTGAAACCAAGTTTCGGATTTAAACTCATTTTTCATGTAGACACTTAGAGTAAATATCCTGTGAGTATCCTGTAATTGGCTTTGACTGTTTGAATTTTACCAGATATTTTAATTTTACTAGATGAAGTAAAAATTACCAGATCCAAGTCGCTTTTTTCAAAAACAAATATATAGTATATTTGCGTAATATTTGAGACAATTGAATAAGATACCGAATTTCAATTTGTTTTTACTTAATAACTTTTATTCAACGCTTTATAAATTTTTTCATCTAAAATCGATTATCGGTGCTTACTCTTTTCTTCCACTATAATTTATTAGCGTTAGACATCGTTACTTTAAAAATGCTTTAGCTCAAATCAGCTATCTATTTTTAACTTTCTCTTCCGTATACAGATCGCGCGCAAGGGAGTGAGTTGCTCACTTTTATTCATTCATTGTTGAATCGCGCGCTGGGCAACAATGTTGTTTTTTTGTTTAATTAATCACTAATAAACATTACTAGGTGAACTATTATCGAATATTAGAAGAAAGATAACGAAATATAAACTTGATAAAAAAATTGATTTCAATATAACTTTAACATTAATTTCTATTTCATCGTGTTCAGCGCAAAATTTGCATTTAAAACATATATTTGCAAGATGCAATACATTTTCTTATACATTATCATATAATAAAATTGCAATCATTTTTTTTGTCAAGATTATTATATGAAAAAGGAAATAAAAAAGTGCCCGAAACATATTAATTAAATCCCAATAAAGCATGTAGAGGTGAACTCCCCAAGCAAAAAAAAAATACACGGCATTGCTCAGAGCGGCAGTGCAATGTGCTGATTTATGATTTTGACTTTTTTTCTTAGTTAAGTAGGTACTTCTCAACCTTGTCAAAAAGAATTATTGAGTAATGGGCTCTATTCCATAAAATAAAAAAATACGAAGTGGCATTTTATCATCACGGTAACCTGTCTTAAACCCAATTCCTCTCGTAAAATTACTTCCCCTGTAGTTACATTTATTTTTTCGATTGAAATTAACTTTTATATCATTAATATATAATATAGGCTATCAAACTATCAAACACACAAACAAAGACCTGAAACAAAATTGGGGATAAAAGTAAAAAAAAAATATACAGCCTATCAACAAAACCTACTACTGCTTGTTTATCTTCTTCCTTATACATGTAACAAGCACTCAACTTTTGTCCTGGAAAAAGTTATCATTTCCATGGACAGTAAGTTTTTGTGAAATAGGTTCGTCTACATTGCGTTGTTGTGTCCCGCTTGTCAGTTCGAGCCAGTCCGCCTTCGCTGGAGCACACGCACGCGCAACAACGTCATTGTGGATTCCCGCCAAATAGTTAGTATATCATTTCAGTGATATGGGGACAATTGATTCGGTGGACAGTAATGCCGATAAGAGTCCAGGGAATGAAAATATCGCCGAAATGATACATCCATAAGTTTTTAAAGATCCTTGAGTCAATATAGGTATATTAAATAGTTTCGGTTTATGATGTACATTTATCTAGATACTGTAGGTTCGATATTTCGGGTGCAGTAGTATTTCTATCTAAAATATCTAGTTTAAAAATGTATATTAAAGTTAAAGCGGACGAATTCGTTGGCGGCCAATAGTATTCCTAATTAAATAAGTGTAAAAAAATCAGTATTATTCATCTGCACTTGACTCGCTTACACATGGTGAGTCATCAGAATGGTTTCTGAAGGAAAACGATCAGATTGGCTTGTTTCTGTAGCCAAAGATCTGTATAATCCATGGTACTCTTCAGGTATGACACCTTTGTTGCACAAATCATCAAGATCTTTTTTCTTTGCTATAGATCTTTTTTTTATAAATAGGTTCGACAAATGACTCCACCAGAGGTTAGGTGACGAAGGAGTCTAGACGCGAAGATAGCTGGTACAGCAGTATTACTTGCCACACCAGCTATCCTCATTTTGCCGGCCTGCAGAATTGCTACTTCACACACGTAAAAGGGCAAAGTTATCCATTTGCGGATAGTCTGACAAAGAAATGAGTTACCAAATTTCTTTGTTCACGTTGGAATAGTAGTTCACAGTAAATCGGTGACAACATAAGCCAGCGCGTGTAGACTTCTGTAGGAAAGGGGAAGGTAGGTTAAGGGACAATAACTCCTCAAAACATGCGCTATGGTATAGACGATAAAACGCGCCTAATAACGCCACATCACGGCGTAATTGAAGAGGCTCAAGGTGTTTAGTCACCTCCTTATCGCCAATAATGCGAATCGCGTGCCGCTGTAACCTATCCAAATTATCAAAAAAGTACTTGGCGGAGCCATCCTCTGAGGTGCGAAAAATATTCCACGCAAGACCGTACTTACGTCATGTACAACAAGCACAGTTGCTCAGGCGTGAAAAAACGTTAATTTTACCGTGAAAGCGCAGACCTGGGCTTTCTTGGCAATGAACTCAACCAAGTTCTTGGTACCGCATTCCGAAATGCGGTCCAAATCTTGATTGAGTTCAATGACAAGATTCTCCCGTTTCTCTTTGGTTTCTACCTGTCCAGCGGCTGCGTATTCAAAATATCCCGCATGTACTGTTTTATCGTCTGCATAGCAATGAATATTCTCAAGAGGAATTAAATCATTGAATGCAGCAAAAAGAGTGTAGGGGATAGGACGGAGTCCTGAGAAACTCCGGCATTCACTGACATGATCTGCGAACTACATCCGTCGCCGTCCGTTGACGCTCATGCAGGAAGTCAGCCACTCAGGCACAGAACTGAGTAAGCAGCCCGTATCCAGGAAGCTTGGAGAGAAGACTTATGTGCCAGACCCTATCAAAGCCTTGGCGATGTTAAAGCTGATAGCCAAAGACTCACCTCGCTTATCGATAGCCTCACCCCAGATATATGTCACGTACGCTAGAAGCACACCTGTCGATCGATTCGATCTATCCTCTTTTACTTGCCTCAAATATACACACAAACACATTATATATATATACACAAACACATTATATATATTTTTTTGCAAAAAGCGACTTGGATCTGGTAATTTTTACTTCATCTAGTAAAATTAAAATATCTGGTAAAATTCAAACAGTCAAAGCCAATTACAGGATACTCACAGGATATTTACTCTTAGTGTCTACATGAAAAATGAGTTTAAATCCGAAACTTGGTTTCAGCATAATAAATTTACAAACTTAAGTGTTTTGAATGGGTTTATTAGATTTTAAATCAAGAATTTTGGAAACAATTTGCAGTTATTCTGTTTATTCATTAGCTATATCAGGAAGCATTCGTCGTAGAGCATAATGGGTTTTACCTGTAGATGCGGCTTAATGAGACGGGTCGATTGGTATTATAAAAGTTCAGTAGCGGAAAAGTGCAGATAATCGGTTTTGGCACTAAGGGGACGATTTACTAACTAATAAACTTCTCGCTTTCTAAACGCGCTTTGTTCGTTATTTTGAAAATGTACATATTAATAATTATAATTAGTAATAATAATTAATAGCAGTAACAATTAATTAATTCTTCATTAATAATTCTTATTAAAAAATAATGAACAAAAATATTTACAAAGAATAAGGAAATTTATTTAAATTCAAAATAGGGAACCCTTCTACTACAAAGGCGATGTTCTTGGCTGTATCATTTCGGTGGTCATTTTTTACCATTTCGGTAGACAATTTTCATTTCAGTGGACTGCCGAAAACTTATCCTTAAATATTTCAGTAAGTGGTGATTGTTGAGTTTGACCCGTAGGATCGTTTAAAAATGGAAAAAAAACCATTAACAATATATTTTCTTTTTTTATTTTGCACCTTTAATTGCATTTTGTGCAAAAACTATGGGAGATACGCGATAATATGTTGATACCTTTTTTGTAGGAAATTAAATTTTCTACAACTTTGTACTAGAAACTTTTTCTATTTTTCCAGCCAGTCGCAAGATATTGACGAAAAACTCGTTTTTGCACCATTTCGCATCTTTTTGCACCCTTTGCCGTCAATGCAGCACCCTGCAATTTTAGTATATTAATCTACGAATCCTTGCGGAAATTTTCGCGTTGGTTGCAGGTGATCAACTCAAAATGGCAAAGTTAGGCCTTCATTGACTGGACTATTTAGACTAATCATTTTGTCCTTAGAATTAAAATTGATTTCGATTTCTAAAAACTAGAAAAAAGTGATTCAATTATTCATTTACCTATGAAACGTGATTCCTGGATTTTTTTTTCTTTCGGTCACTACGGTTTTTACACCTTTTTACAAGCAAGATATCTTGTTTAGCTTATTTTTTATCTCCACGTAACGTGTCGGCTGCTTCGACGTTTGCACGTGTAGTGGCTATTGTGTGAATGTGTGCGTGCCGGCTTGTACGTACAGCGACCTGGCCGACTCTGAGCGACACAGTTTATTGTTTACCGGGACTCTGTCCGCCTTTTTTTATAAGTCCATGCATATCATAGGTTGAACGCGATTTTGAACTTTTAATCGTACCACTAAGGTTAAAAATTAATTGGAGTATTTCGACAAATCTTTGATTTATTTATTTTTTGAATAACCTTTCGCCTAACATTCCATTTTGTAATTTCAGTCGCTCTACTAATAAGACGATTTTAAATTTCAGACGTTTTACTAGTAGGTTTTGCTTTTATGTCATTAGTCCCATAAAGACATCGTCCTTCTGGTACGGAGGGCCCTGATGCGATCGGAATCTCTTCTGATGGGTCACAGCACAGCAGAAGCCATCACAACAAACCGCGACACACAAATATAAATCTCTGTGTAATAAATTTATGAAATTGATACCGCTCTAACATTTCGGACAAATATAAATCCGGCATTTATCTAAGTAAATGTGCATTGAAACTTGAATAGGAACAAGTTTATTTTTTTCACATTTTTTTCAGCGTGACTAAAATGAATAGCCATGTCGAATTACAGGAATTAAAGCAGAGCCGAGCTGACGCTCACGAAACAAATGATTACCTCAAATGTTTCACTGACTTCAATAAAAAACCATTATATTGTGAATATTCCAAAGAATATAATATAACAAATTACAAAGAAAAATCAGTTACATTGATGACCAAGTTTACAATACTTGGTAGATTCAACATATATGCTGATGAGAAAATAAAGATACATATACTTGCAAGAACATAAGCCAACTCCATTTTAAGATAAAAGAAAAATTAAAATAAACTTAACCAAACTTTTCTCCTCTAGTCAATGTAAAAAGTCCGAGTCCATTATTACTTACTCTTTTCAAACATATAAATGTTGACAGTTGCAAATATTTTTGTTTGTGGAATTGCATACCCAATTGCATATAATGAATTGCATATTTTTTGGTTAAGTAGCAAATTCCACTTTTTGTTTTTTCAATTTTTATTGTGTGTTTTTTTTATGAGCGGGACTATTTACTGTATTTTTTTATATAATATTAATGAAAAAGCATTAAAATCAACAAGAACACAGCAATATTAATGGTCCTTGTAAAGAAAAAGGCTGGTAAAAATGTTATTATTACCAGATATTTACCATGTTTTTACTCCTTTTTATTAGTAGCTTGTTGTTTGGCTTGGTGAGCCTGCAGGACAGCAACAGCTTCATCCACCTTAGCTTTCAGAGACTCTCCATGTTCTAACATATGGAGAAGTTCAGAATTATCAATCTCCAACAACATTCCCGTAATCTTACCAGCCAAATCTGGATGCATTCTTTGAATTAAGGGGAACAAACGTTCACCAAGCATCTGTTTTTGCTCCTGCAATGGCGCCGCAGCTAACATAGTAGCAGTCAGTGGTTCTTGGCCTTGAATATGAACAGCTGGTTGAGGAGCTGGAGGATTACGCATGTTAGCAGTATATTTATACCCAGCCGGGCGGCCACTTTGGGTAACTAGAGGTGCTCTTATGGATGTCGCTGTTGCTACTCCTTGTTGTCCTGTAATTGGTCTTGCCCCAAGTGATGTTCGCAATGCTGCTTGAGTGGGGCCTCTTGGAGCTGGACGGAATGGAGCTTGCATATTTGGATAACCTGAGGCAGCAGTCTGAGTACTAGGTCTTACAGGGGGCTGAGCTGTCCAGCGAGGAGATGGTCTTATTTGAGTCATCTGGGCTGGGCCATAGAAACGCTGAGCTGGTGGAATAGTGGGAACAAAGTATCCTCCTGCACCACCTGGTTGGAAGATTTGGCCCATTTGCTGCATTCTCATACTTGCCATACGTTGCATATATTGGGATGTCAGATGAGCTTTACGATCTTCCTTACGTTGAGCCAATGCAACATATAGTGGTTTGGTTCCAACAATTCGTCCATTCATCTCAGTAACAGCTTTAGTAGCTTCTTCAGGGGATGAAAAACAAACAAACCCAAAGCCCTTGCTGCGGCCATCCTCCAACATCACCTGAAAATAGTTTTTTTTTATAAGTTACAATAATAATAATAATAATAATATTCTTTATTGTATAACACCACAATGGACATAACAGTAAGATTACACTGACAGAGAGACATTACACAATGGGCGGCCTTATTGCTTAATAGCAATCTCTTCCAGGCAACCCATGACGGAAAATTAAATAAGTATAAAGAACAAAAAAAGGGGGAAGGGTGTAAGAGCAATATTATAAAATAAAATAAAAACGGTAATAATAATATAGATGCATATTTATATGAAAAAATAAATAAATAAACAAATAAATAAAGGAAAGAGGTACTTTCAAAGTAAAGATAGGAAATGACGCTTAACTTGCTCACGGAACGAGTCCAGAGTGCGAGCCCTTCGTATGGATTCCGGTAATGAATTCCACAAGCGAACAGAATGCACAGAGTAGGAGTAAGAAAGGAAATCAGTCGAATGGCAAGGTATTTCTAGAGTGAGATTAGAAGAGGAGCGTAGAATGCATTGTGAAGAGGATGATCGAAAAGAGAAGCGTTGTTTTAGATAAGGTGGAGAAGTAGGTAGGAAAAGTACAGAATAAAGAAGCGTAAGAGTATGTAAGTCCCTGCGCCGGCGAATAGGGAGCCAGTTGAGTTTCGAGCGAAAGTGTGATACATGGTCAAATTTACGGAGATTATATATAAATCTGATAGCTATATTCTGCAAACGTTCCAACTTGCTTAGCAGTTCCTCAGAAAGATCAGTGTAACATACATCAGCATAGTCCAGAATGGAGAGTAAAAGAGTATGCGCCAGAGTGATTTTAGTACTGGTCGGCAAAAAGTTACGTAGGCGATTAAGTGAGTTGTATGCGGCAAATATTTTTTTCCTTATAGATTCGAGCTGAGGTTTCCAAGAGAAACAGTGATCAAATATCACACCAAGGTTCTTGACAGTTGTGGAGAAGGGTATAACAATCCCATCAAAAGTTACAGGAGGCAGCCGTTCATAGTTGATCCTGGAAGCGAAATAAGGACTGCCGATTAAAATAGTTTGCGTCTTCGCAGGGTTAACAGTTAAGCCGAATGACTTACTCCAGTTACTAATCAAATCAAGGTCAGAATTTGTAACCGCTATTGCGTCTGAAAGGTCAGATAACGGCGCCTGTGTGTATACTGAAAAGTGAGTGTGTGATAGAATTTATGAAAATAGAGAAGAGTAAAGGAGATAAGACGCTACCCTGAGGAACACCGGCATCAATAACGCACCACGAAGAGAAGTTTTCTTCTATGCGTATACGCTGCCGGCGCCCTAGCAGGTAACTTTGAAACCAATCAATCACCATTGGAGATATGTTAAGAGAACGAAGAATAGCAAGAAGGATGTCAAAATCAATGGAGTTAAAGGCGTTGGTGAAGTCAAGCAATGTCAGCAGTGTAAGTTTGCGTTCTTCCATACCATGTCGTATATCATCTGCAATTTTAACTAATGCAGTAGATGTGCTGTGACCCGTACGAAAGCCAGATTGATATGGGTTAAGGAGTTGGTTCTGGTTAAGTACATGTATTTTATAGCAAATTTAGAAACTAATAACAAACTCAGGAGCTATGAATCTGAGTCACCCTTATATTAAAAACCATTTATTTTTTTATTTCAGTTGGTTTTTACAATTTAATTTTATGGTAGATTTAAAATATAGTCTAGGATACATTAGCATTGAAAATATTATAATTTAATTTCAAAACATCCATCATTAATAGTATTATAAATGCGAAAGTGCTGTCTGTTAGCTCTTCACTCTTAAACCGGTGAACAGATTTAGATGAAATTTGGTATAGACATTGACATAAGAATATATGGAACTTATGTCAAAATTGACATTAGTGCACGTGGAGAGCGTAGGTTCAACTGTATGCACTATAATCCGCTTGATAGGCCGTATACAGAAAGAAAGCCGAAAGCCGATCGGTGCTTATCGGCGCCGATCCTTACTTCATAAAGGAAGCCGATTAAAGCAGATCGACGATGATTTGATTTTGTTAGAAAATGTGTATTTAAAAATGCGAAAAAAGCTATACATCCTATAAATAAAGAAAGGAAACGTTTCGGAGAATACCATCATTTATTTAAATAAATTTGATGATCAAAGATTTTATACATATAAAATCTTATACATATAAAATCTTTGATATATGATATAAGAATGACTCAAGAAACATTTTATTACATTTTGGATTTAGTGAAAAACCGTTTGATGAAAAATTGGTGCAATTGGCATAAACAACCAATCCTTCCAGAAGAGACTTGTTGGCACCATTCGGTAAGTACGAAACAAAAATTTTAGCGCTTGGTTAATAAAACATAAATCTAAGGATAATAATTCAAATACAAATTATTTATTATTCGGACAACATAGATCATAATGACCAGCTGACCATAGAAAAAGGATCAGTGATCAGGATAAGCGCTGATCAGCGCTGATCGGCGCCGATCGGCTTTCGGCTTTCTTTCTGTATACGGCCATAAAGCGGTGTCGGGGCGCGTCGCATCGTACGAAACCAATATCCGGGGCAGATTATGCGGCTCGCTGCACCCTGGCAGTGTGAGATAGTTCAAAATACATAAGAACAATTTGAACGGATTTTTGTGTTGCGACCCGACCCGACCGGCTGCAGCCCGGTATGTGCGTTATGCATTAAAGGGGTGGGTTGTATGGGAAATCAATTTAACTACGCAGACGAATTCGCGGGTACCCGCTACAATATAGCGCAATAATAAAGCCGTATCGGCAATACATAAAGTACATTGGAGTTTCTTTTTTAAATAGGTTATAGTGGTTATCAGTTCTTAGGGTGGCAGAGTTCACAAAAAAGCTAGATGGTGGTGGTTGGCGGATTAGGACTGCGATCGTGAAAGTTAAACAACTTTCGCAATGGCCGGTAATTGGATGGGTGACCCAAAATTTGCATAGAGATGCAAAAAACAGTTTTTTTACTAAATGCAGTAAAAAGGATCATGTTTTTTTCTGAAATAAACCGAGTAATAAAAACTGAAGAATAATAAAAAAATAAATGTATTTTATGCTTTTTCAGAAAAAAACAACAACAGGCCTGTTTTTTTTCTAAATTTGTTTTATTTTCTTCTAAAATACCACCGAAACAATCTTTTTAAAACAAACGTTTTATTATGGCATATTACATCTGATCACATAAACCGAACGGAGAATTCGAGGACTTTCCCCTTGATTTTTTTGTTTTTCATTCTACATCACTAGGTGGGTCATGACCCAGTTTCTCTATTCCATTCATAGGGAAGGCTTATGCCAGCAATTGGGACATGAATAAGCTAATAATGATGAGTTCATTCAGAAATCTACAGATTAGGTAATAGTTTTGATAAAATTATACTACAGCACTACGAAATAGTAGTACCAGACTACCAGTAGTCCTTTTTCATTAGGCGTTAGTTAGCAACAGACGCTAGTCAGCCTGATAGATAGTGCTAGCTAATAAGTACTTAGTGGCGCTAAACTAAAATATTTTTTTTTAAGGTTATTCAATAATAGTTAATACTGTTAAAAATATTAGGCCAGGAGAATCAATTTTTATATTATTATGATAACTGAGTTAATTAATATAACGAACACCTTTAAAGGTATTACGACATTTAATAAAATAGGTATTTTAACTTTCGTATAGCACAAACCATTATAGAATTCGAATAGTTTAATTCAATTTATTTTATATTTCAAATGTGTACCGATTTTTAGTTCACATTACGCCTGTTGTGGCGCTGCTGTTCAAGTTTGCATTCAAAATTTGACAATGACATTACGCACTCGCAAACTATTCGAATTTGATATTGGTTCGTGCTAAAGGTACTGTGCTGTGGGAGTGTGTTGTTTCGAATGTTTGTTCGTAGCTTCCATACTGCTATAATAATATGTACTTCATTCCAGATAAAAAAAAAAAAACTGAAAGAAACAGGGTTTCGAAACCTTTTCATTCATGTATAATCGAACGAAGATAATCATCTTTGATATTACATATATTATGTATTACCATCGTGCCTGAGGATGTCCTACACTACGTTTGCCTAGACGCGGTCTCCACTCCAGAACTCGTCTACCCCAACGGTTATCGGTTCTTCGGCAAATATGGCCAGCCCACTGCCACTTCAACTTGCTAATCCGGTGGGCTATGTCAATAACTCCTCAGGCACGATGGAGTGACGATTTGCGCAAGGTGGCTGGCAGGAGCTGGATGCGAGTAGCCCAAGATCGATCTGAGTGGCGTGCATTTGGAGAGGCCTATGTCCAGCAGTGGACTATGATGGGCTTTTGATGATGATGATGATGTATTACCAGATACTCTGGAGTGTAATGTTTTTTTTTATTATTATTATTTCCAACATGAAACATTTAATGTGATCAATTTTGAAACTAATCACTCTTCACCAGATGAGGTCACCGAAGACGATAACAATTGCTAGGGCAATTTGTGGTTAATAATATAGATATTAATCACAAATTGCCCACCAGATTTGCGATGACTTTAGCCAATTGACATAATCTATCTTCTGCTTTTCTTCTTAGTATAGACTGAGATACATAACGACACAGACGTAATACATATATCCTCCTGAGACCCCTGGTGTCACCAGTGACACTTGCAGATATAATTTTTTTGTCGCGCCATTTATTGATGTAACTGCAAACTAAATCAATGGTATGAAAGATTACGACTTGTGCTCAACCGCTAGGTGGATATGGCTCATTATTCCGAGTTTGAATCTAGCGAAAATTTTAGTTGCAATTTTGAATAAGTGCAAATACCGACATGTAGACATCCCGGAGAGGTAAATCTTATTTTAATTACGTTTGTCGTTATTGTTTCGTGTTATTTGTGTACACGGTTCATTGATCTCTCAATAATGATGATAAATATTAGGAAAAAATATATATATTACCCGTATTTTAACCCTTTTATTTGGGTGTCACAGGTGACACTTTGGTCAGTCGTGACTTAGAATGTGAACTTTTACAGTACTGAGAGAAGCTGAAATAGAAGAGTCGGTTTCTAATTTCAATAACTCCGATATCGAAGATGTTGATGAAGATGAAGAGGAAAACTTCATTCAAGGAGAAGAAGACGAGTCTGAAGAGTAAATCCCTCAGTCATCTGATTGTAGCGAGTAGGATAATTCAGACGAGGAGCCGCTTTCCTCTGTAGTGAGTTCTCGTATCGTAAGGATATCCACAGGCCGCCCCTTGCCATGGGATTGTACAAACAACTTCCAGAGCCCTTCAATCTTCATGAGGGTCCACCATTACTTGATGCAACTACTAGTGCATCCCTTCCTATGAATACTTTTACCAAAACATCAAACCTGATTTTTTTGTACAAATATCACTTTGTACTAATATTTGCAGCATACACAGAACTGGCAGATCTTAAGATACAAACCCAGAAGAAATGCGAACTTCGTGTGGTCCAGGCTGCGGAAATCAGGGCACTATTAGTGGCTACTGCTATGACGCCAATAGATATTTTCAGTTGAGGAGTAACATAAAAGTTGTTGACGATCAGTTAATAACATCTTCTATGAAATTGGTCCTCTGGTATCCACTATTGAGCATGGTTGTAGACAAGACCAAAGAGGCCAAAATGTGGCAATAGGTGAACAAATTATTCCGTTTATAGGAAAGTGTAAAATGAAGCAAGTCGTGAAAGGAAAACCCAAGGAAAATCCTAATGGACTTCCACTGGACTTTTATTTGTACCAGGGAGGGGGAACCAGCATAGAAGCTGCATAATATCTAATGCCAGAGAAACGTGTCGAGTAGAAAGTAGTCCTGTTACTGAAACAGAAGAGGAAGAATTCGAAGTTGAAGCCCTGTCTTCAAACCGAAAACGTAGAATTGTCGAATGCATTCCCCACATTGTCAAGCGACTAAGAGAAGCTCAACACATGCCCATGTTTATAAAGGATAATTGGTCAAAATGTCGGCTTACTTCATGTAATCAGCAACCCTTCGTTAAGTGTTCAAGCTGCAACATATTTCTATGTTTTAATACAATCCGTTTTTTTAATACTTTTCATACTACACAATGGTTTCACTAAAGCTAGATTATTACTGGTTAGTCAATAAAACGACTATAATTCGGAAACACCAAAATATCTCATATTTATTTAATGAAAAAGTTAATTTATTTAAAAAAAAAGTTGATTAATTAGAACCTGTTTTAATCTAATTTGAACCCGTTGTGTCACTGGTGACACCCCCCATTTTGGAGTATTTAGGGGGGATAGATTTTTTTACTATTTTTTTTATGTTATATGTATCACAATTAATGTTATTTCCAAAATTCATGACAATCAATAAACTTTTTGTGGTCTGGGTCTCAGGAGGATATTGAGGGGTATTCAAAAACGTATAATATATAGACTGGCCATACACTAACATTATTGTATTTTAAAGTGTTACCGCCCCAACTTCCCTTGGCAACATCAACCAATAGAGAGCATTCAAGTGACTCTTTCTCCCTTATTGATAAAGCAATTACATCTTGCTCTCTAGCCTTCACGTGTCAACGTCGTAAGAAACTGGCAAAATAAGTTTGTTGTTGCCAAGTGTAGCCGCGGCGAGAGAGCCTGCCCCCGACTGAATGCAAGTCAGACAATTACCCGACTTTCGTATTGCCAAACTAGAAGCGTGTATGACGTATAACTTTAAAACATCATAGGATTAATTAATTATCTGGTAAAAGATACCTGTGGCTTCTGCTGTTATTTGTGAAATTTCACTTTTCTATAATGCTAAACCCTCTGGCCAAGTTTATTTCATATATTTGTAAATATATTATTGTATGATGTGCGAAGATGACTTTGTTTTGGTCTTTTTAGGAGATAAAAACAACAGTGCTTTATTGGGATTTGGACCAAGACTTCTAACGTTTCAATGCAGGTTGCAAACCTCTGCTTCTTTGGTTTTTCAACAGAGCCATTTTTTATTTGTAGTAATATTTTAGTTTTCGAATGACTCCTATTATATTATAAATAGTTTATGTATGGTTTAGATGGCTCTGCTTTTACATTTTACGCATAAATTGACATAAGCCGTAATTAAATATTTGTTTCCACAATGAGTTGAAAATGTGTACCTATAAAAGTACCTTTCTTACTTCTTTTTAATGTTGTCTATCCCCATAGCATGACCATCACAATTTACATTATATAATGTTTTTTATCATGTCTCGCTGTCATATTCCATAGTAATTTAATAATAATCATATCACTAGGGGGGCTGGAATAGCTTGGAATGAGGTATAGATTTATATGGAAGTATGAGACATAATTGTGGAAGTTGATGGAATTGATTTTGATCTAACATACATTATATACAAACGCAAAAATTGCACCAACACACGACGTCTCTTCATGTGTTCACATAAGTGAAGTGTAAACTCTTTTGAGTTGTTTCACGAAAGCCAGGTGACATGTTCTTCACATGTGAAATCTCGCATTGTGACCACCAGCCATAGAGTAACAAAGGCTACATTTTATGCTGTTAAAATAAAGTTCACCTGTGCAAAGCCAAGGCGGATCACTAGTATTAATAATATGAATTATTGATCATTAGCAAGAAGAAATCATCAAATTGAAATGTTTTTTTTAATTATGTGGCAAATACATAATTAAAAAAAACATTAACGGAATCCAATTTCATTTTATGCTTTTGGAGCACTTACCTTGGCTGAAGTTATTGTTCCAAATGGTGCAAATTCTTTACGCAGTCTCTCATCATCAATAGTATCATCTAAATTCTTCACATACAAATTTACACCCTGGTAACGAGTCAAACGCTCCGATTTTAATTGTTCAAATTTGCGCTTAAGTTCTTTCTGACGTTCAGCTTTCTTTTGGGCACGACCAACATATAAAGGCTTGCCTTCTACTAGCTCTTTACCATTTAACTCTATGCAAGCCCTTTCTGCAGCATCTGGATCTTCAAATGCAACAAATCCAAAACCTCTGGAAGCGCCATCATCTTTATACATAACTTTGTGGCTTGTTATTCTACCATATTTCTCAAACATGTCTTTAAGCATTTCATCAGAAAAATCTTCTCCGAAATTCTTCACATAGACATTGGTGAAAAGTTTTGCTTTTTCACCCAGTTCCTTTTCACGTTCCTTACGAGGAATGAATCTGCCAACGTAAACTTTTTTACCATTTAACAACATTCCGTTTACTTTCTCAATTGATTTATTGGCAGCTTCCTCAGTCTCAAAATGAACAAAGCCATAACCTTTAGAGGCACCAGTCTCATCTTGAGCTACTTTACAGCTCAAAATATTCCCAAAAGCAGAGAAAGTATCATACATAGCTTTGTTGTCAATGGTTTTGTCAAGATTTTTAATGAATACATTTCCTACTCCAGACTTACGTAGGGAAGGATCGCGTTGGGACCACATGATTCTAATAGGTCTTCCTTTGATCATGTCAAAATTCATAGTGTCTAGAGCTCTTTCAGCTGTAAAAAAAACAAAATATTCAAAAATCATAATAAGAGAAAAAAAATTAGATGATTAACTGGATGTTTCATGCCTTATAACTAGAACTGCCACGAATATTCGGCGCGGCAACTATTCGGCACGTGGCCACTTTTTTTCGCTATTCGATATTTGGTTGAATATTGCAAACTATTCAGCTGATTACGAAGAAAAGCACTCAAAATATAATCGCAAAATCATTATTTAACCAACAAATAAACATATTAATATTTAAATATAGCAGCATAATATGCATTAAGATAAATGACAACAATTTTTTTCAGCATTGGTCAATAACAGACGGACGCAAATTGCGTTTTTCCTCATATTTTATACCTGCTTCCCAAATCAATCCCTCACTATATACACTACTACTTATACACTGCTACTGGAATGATAAATAAATCTCAGCAAATTGTGGAAGGGTTCGGCATTGTTCTTCATTTGCTAACCACCACTTGTAATAAATCAAAACTGCCACTTACATACTACTTCAGTGATGAAATTTTAAAACCCGTAAGTGATGACTTGTAAGTACTAACTGTTGCTGAATATTTTGCACTTTAGCCAAGAGCCTCGGCAAATATTCAGTGATCGGCCAAAACCCTATTCATGGCATCTCTACTGTATTTATATTATATACCTACACTATTATGTTAAGATTTCACATTTCAGTTGGTATGCATAAATATTGAAATAACAGTATTTTGCCTACAAAATAACTTTTCCTAAATATAATTTTAAATCTTAAACTGCATTATGAAATTGTAATGTTTTATACATAGAGCACAAACACTTGTATTTAGGAAACGGTACCTCAGTAAATAGAAGGTAGCCCCCAAGAGTTAAAAATTCTATTTTAACAATGAGTTAACTCGAAGGTACTTATTTAACTCAAGTTTTCTAAGTTAACTAATGTATTGAAATGGTTGTATAGAATTAAGCTTATGATGAGCCAATAATCAAATAAATTGGTGAAACTAACACCCATATTCTTAATCGCGTCCTCAAACGTTCCTCGACTCAAACTCATTCGAGGGCTCCTTAAGGAGTTCCTCCAAATAACCTCGAAAATGGTATTCTAGTTGGTATCTTGAACAAACTTGAGAATTCCTCCACTGAGAATTCCTCAACATTGTGACGTCATCATTTGGAGGATTTTATTTCTATAATGGTTAACAGAGGAAATATTACTTGTATGACTGTATCTTTTCTAAACCGAAATCTTCTTTGAAACGAATCATTGTCGTAAACCTTAAAAGGATTTGCGGCATCACGTAAATACCGTCGCGCCGGATAATTATATGGTTAATCATCGTGTATGTGTTACTGAATAAATAAATAAATAAATCGTATACTTAATCCATAAAGTCCACAAATTCATCAATAATCTCAAAATCAGACATGATTCTCGATAAAAGCAACTTGAAAACACCACTCGAGGAAGCCTTAAGGTATGTCGAGAGCTACCTTGAGTTTAACAGTTTATTCCTCGACTCGACCTCCACTCGAGTGAGGAATATCTCAAGTGAAGGATATTTTTGTTGTCTAAGCATACGAATTTCCTCCAATGAGGTTGAGTCGAGTGGAAAAAATCTCGAGGAAACGACTAAGAATATGGGTGTAAGTCTTGGAACAGGAGTTGACTGTAACATTTATTTTTTTTTCAATTTGCAATATGTTCACAAGAGTGACCTAATGCAGTGTGAAGTGTCAACTCCCATGCCCAAGAAGTATACTATAGCCCACTGTTTCTAAGTATAATGTCAGTCCTGCGTAAAGAAATTTAATAATCAGTAGTATAATTATTAAATAACAATAAATATAAAAATATATCCAACAATCACACCAATTAGTCTAGCCCCAAAGTAAGCACTGTAAGGCTTGTGTTATGGGATACTAGGGTAATGGATGAATACATTTACCCTACATATATAAGTATATTTATATAGAAATACATAATAAACAGCCATGACTGGAGTACAAATGACAAGCATTCTTCACACAAACATCTGCCCCCACTGGGAGTTGAATATAACCTTCAAACCCAGCGTACAACAACTTTTGCCAAATTATAACTATGAACACAATAAGCTATAAAAATTAATGTCAGTTTTCCAGGGAAATTATACGAGCACCATGGATCATGGGATTGGTTGGGATTTCCATTTAAGATTATCTTACCCAATGAAAGGATAGCTGAATTCATTCAAAGATATTTGATATGTCAAAGTTTGTTTTGTTTTGTCTGTGTATGTCGCATTAGTATTGAAGTTTAGTTGTATGATTAGGAACTACGTTTTAGTGGCCTTTGTTAGAGAGTAGTGCTTCCATATCATTACTAATTTGTTGGTCATATTGCATAAATGTTTGTATTTGGGGCAAGTTTATGGTTAATCAGACCTAACCAATGTTAATGCCTCTGATCCTATATGTCACCATGTAAATGCTTTGAGAATTTTTCATATTGAAAGAATCCATCTATTACAGGGCTGCATTCCAACAACATGCTCCCGAGTTCAAATTTTAATACGATGGCTGTTCCAAAGCTTCAAGGAACAGTCGCATTTGACATAAGATTGACGAAACACATCCCGGCTGTGATTTGATAGACATCAGATAAAATTTACATAAGACTATTAGCTACTCTCAGAAATTTCAAATTAATAATAAGAACCTATGCTTAATAACAAACCTACACTATTAATGAAAACCATGTGGACCATTTTAAAAAGACTATACTGTTTATTGCGTAATTTAAATTAACTGTGATCCGAACCAATGATTCAAGTGTACCATATGGTTAAATAGATTGCATACTTTTAAACAAATGTGCACTAGATAAATCGCATGAACATTCACGACCCAAATAGCTATTCATGCTATGAATAATATTGTGATACGATTCCTTTTACAAAACAGTTGATGTAGTACAATAAAATAATTAAGTTAAACGACCTTGAAAAAATAGGTACTTAAAAATTACTCACCATCTGCAGGTTGCTGAAAATTTACATAAGCGTACCCTAATGATCTGCGAGTTATCATATCGCGACAAACCCGAATTGAGAGTACAGGACCCGCAGTTGAAAATTTTTCAAACAACATGGCCTCGGTAATATCGGAGTGCAAGTCTCCGACATACAATGATGCCATGGGATAATTAGGGGGGCCTGGATTCATTTTGCTTTATTTAAACTTGCTGTTTAAAATAACACATTAAAATTATTGGTCGTTAGCACAAAACTTCACTTTCTCTCTATAATGACAATCGCATTCCTTAGACCACGTTGCACGCTTACGTACACTAACTAACTTAAAATCGAGTGAATCCCGTTACTTTTTTGATTTTTTTCTATTTTTTTGTTATTTTATTAATTTTATGATTTTTTTTTATATTTTACAAGAATATTTCACGAAATTATGAGGATTGTGTGACCTTAATCGAGGGAACACACAACCTCACGTGAACACACCTCGCTCACCAAAAGAAAGGTGACGTTTGTGGTTTTGGTTGATTCGATGCGTGGATGCGTGATAGAATAAAATGGCGTCCGTATTTTTTTTTATTAAGGCCGTGCGCATACTACACTAAAAACATGCGGCGGCGGCGCGGCAAATCGCCTCAAGGAGTAAAGTCCTCTACGCAATATCCACCAAGACCTACTATCATCTTGCTGAATCCGGTAGTTTTCCAATTACAGCACTAGAGCGCTTTATGCGGTATAATCCTTAACGTTGAATGTTTCAACTACAGCAACGCTTCGCACAATCGAGCACTCTCAAAAGTAATGTTTTCGTGTGATGCGTGCAATCGTACCAACTCAGTGACAGAAAATGGTATTATATAAAGACTTTGAGAAAATGAACAAGTGTTTTTTTTTAATAAGAAACCCTAATAATGGTCCTTAAAATTATGTAAGATCCTTCACCGCAATCATTTTTATTTTGAAATTAAACAGTAAATAGGACAACAACATGTTCAACGATTTATCATCTATTAGAAAAACAATATAAATCCGATTACACAAGTGCAGTTTCAATATTAAATTACGGACAAACATTTAAATCAGTTTTAAGGTATGAACAAAATGGTCAACTATTTAGAAACAACAATAAAAAAGTATAAAAAAACATTTATGTTTAAGTATTAGTAATAAGTATGGTTATTTACGAAATAGCTTCTATCCACAGCCTAGCAATAGTTATAATTAATATTTAGTAGCGTATCCCTTATTTCTAATAACAGCATTACAGCACTGCAACGCCGTGGCATTGATGCAATCAATTTGGTACATTTTTCTATGGGGATTGAATTCCATGCTTCAACAAATGCTTATATTTCGTTTTGACTGGTGTTACGTTTGTTTGAGATTCTCTTTTTAACAATATACCAGAGTTTTTCTATCGGGTTTAAATACGGACTATTTGCTGGCTAGTCTAAAATGAATATACGGTGTTCGCTAAGGAAACATTTGACACTATTGGCCGTGTGTTTAGGGTCATGCTGAAAGATCCAGGTTACAGGCAAATGATCGTCCGAGTAGGGAATCATTGTGTGCTCTAAGATATTTTAGTATTTCATTTGTTCCATTGTACCTTCAAGACAATGGATCACCACCCCAGACAGTGCCACAGCTCAGGGAAGCTGCTGTTCAAGAATGGGTCAGGTTACCATAAGAAATGCTGCATAACTTGATCCTCAGCATGCCCAGGAGGATCTCCGCATGTGCCAGATGTGGGCTCGAGCCAGAGGAGGAATTATTTTGTATTAGATAAACAACAATTTATTAATAAAAGGTTTTTAAGTTTGGTTAAACTATCTTTTTATACTTTCTATATACATAAGAAGTGTTTCTAATTATATGACTACCACTGAATCATAATTTGTATAACTTTATTTATATTTTCTGAATTTCATTTCAAAACCCTTCACTTTAATACCCCGCTTGAAAGGTTATAAGCAATTTTTTTCAAGGTGTTTCATTTTCGTACCAAATATCAGCAATATTTGATGCATGAAACAAGTTTTTGAATAAAATGGGCTATCAAAGTGAAGGGTTTTAAAAGACCGATTTTTTTAATTTGGATATACTCAGTTTTACTTAATCACGACAAATGAAATGATACCTCGCAAGTCAAGTCATTCTGGCTGTAGGGCGTACCAATACAACGGAGATACACGCATAGTAGGGTACGGGTGCGGCCAGAATGCACTCAGATTCAGATTCAGATTCCGAAAACAAGCGCGAGAAATAAACAGTGTAGTCGAAGGGTACGGCCAGAGTGCACTCCTGATTCAGATTCAGATTCAGACTCAGAAAACAAAGCGCGAGAAAAAGCAGGCAACCTGCTTAGATTACACTGTTTATTTCTCGCGCTTGTTTTCAGAATCTGAATCTGAATCTGAGTGCACTCTGGCCGCACCCAGACACTTTACCGGAATGTTTAGGTCATTCAGATTTTGAATTCACCAGCGCCGCGGCGCGCCGCTCGGACTGCAGGTGGGGTTGCCAACCCTCCTATAAAATATAGTATCCTACTATATTAGGGGATCAAATACTGGTGTGTTGAAATTTTAAGTTCCTAAGAGCAAACATAATATAAAGTCTTAGAATAAACAAAACTGCTTAATTTTTAGTCATTATCTATGTTTATAATTTTTAGTGATAATGATGTCGATTCTGGCATGATTCTCTAAAGCTAAACCTAAATTTGACAGCAGTGCATCCTTGTCAATCTTTATACAGAATGAAAAAGAGAGACTGATGTTAAATTTAGTTTTAAGTTTAGAGAATCACGCCAGAATCTACACCATTATTTACTTTAAAATTTTAAAGTTTAACCTAGATATGCAAAACTCTTTATATGTGTATAATAAAAAAAAGTTATTTATCATTATAAATAATTTCATTAACATAGTGTTTTTTTTGTATTATTAATGCATTTTTCCTATATATAATATAAACCATACAAAGTATTCAAATTACACTTCCCTCGCGAATCCAGACACAGCTTTCCGGTTAATCCGGACAGTCTGGTCCCATCAAATCCGGATTAGTGAGATTGTAATAAATTCTTACCTAATGGTTATTACCTAATGGTTAGTTCTTACCAAGGCGTTCTTCTGAAAGAATCTTGTGTTTGTGCAAATTACACCAATTCTTCATCATGTGAGGTTCAATTTTTTTTAAAATGTAGTAGAACGTATTCACTTTCATCCTAAAATATTGGAAGAAACGTTTCTTATCGACTTTTAATTGGGGAAACAAATGGTGATATTCCCCATGACCACGTGGACAACTATCAGTAGCCATTAACAAGCACGCTAGATCTTCATTAGAAAACTCCTTCGTGTTTACAACTGCGAAACAAAGTTTCTGGATCAACAGCTTCGAACGCGTCGAATGAGAAAGAGAGACTGATAAATGACTGTCGATTGCGACTTTTTACAGATTAAAAGTTTATGAAGTGGTTTTATTTTATATAAAAATGTAATAAAGAAAACCCCTATTTCCCCCAAAACAAAATTTCTTCCCCCATCGCTTTAAAAACCCCCCAAATTTGGAGTAACCTCCCCCAACCTGGCAACAGTGCTCGCGTCCGCGATCTGCCTCCACTGCAGTGTTGCCAACTCGGATTTCGAAAAAGGCGTAGGCCTGATGAGAAAATTACGTAGAATTAGTAAATTTTGGATATGAAAAGTACGTAGATCTACCTACTTTTCTCTGAGTGAAATGAAGAAGTTAGGTGAAACCGAATAAAATGAGTATTTTGTTATACAATTTGTTTAAGAACGGAGGGGAGATAGAACAAAGAGTTCTTGGAGAAGTCGCTGCATTAGAAGCATTTACCATGCTGTGGTAAACATTTACCATCAGACACAGACACTGGTGGGTGTCGATTCTGGATGGTTCTCTTAATTTAAAACTAATTTTAACATCAGTCTTTCATTCTGTATAGAGAATGACAAGGATAAACTGTTGTTAAATGGGCTAGTTGACACTTTTTGGAATTATGTTTTAAATTGTTAATAATCGTTCTATCAGATCGAAAAAAATGTATTATACAAAAACGCTATTTAGTCTATAGACTTATCTATGCTATGACGTCAAAACATTTGTAAACAAACACTCTCAAGCACGTAGGAAATAAACTCTCTAAGTTAATATTATAAAACCATGACTTCTAATAGATCTATATGAAAAATATAGTAGTTATCATGATACACTTGGTAAAAGACTAGAAAAGTTGTGGTTTAAATTGCCAAGAGAAATAAACATACTTACACATGAACATATGTTTAAAACTTGCTAAATCCTGTAACTTTATCGACTGATTTCTTTTTGCAAAGATCATTTCGATGTGAGTAGGTACTCATTGATAATATTAAAAGTTTAAAAATACAATTTTGACGTGACAACGTCTTAAATTAGGTTGCGGCTGGGAGTCACTTATGAAAAAGTGTAACGCTCGGTAACGTTACGATGAGTCTCTCGTGTTAAGTTTAAGTTTACATGTACAATGTTTTAGTAAACAAAATATATTTCTATAGTTAAAATTTGTGCAATTCTTATTTTCATTCAATTCCTTGTTCCTATTGTGCAATTTAATTATATTCATATCAATAAATATTCTACCGAGAAAAAGACGTTGTCACGTAAAATCTTCGCCCGTAAAACCGACTTTACAGGCAACCATTTTTTTTAATGTTATGAATGTACCTACTAAGTCAAAGAGTTTTGTCGTTTCTGCTTTCACAAATCCTGCGTCCAGCATTAATTTAGTCAACAAAACCAATAACGGGAACCTTTTCTACAAGATACGAAAGTGTAAGATACATCTTTATAAGAAATAAACATTTGTATAGTTTTTAAGTAGTAAAGTAACGGAAAATATTCTTCTTTATTCTAGTGAATTAAGTTATTTTACAAATTTGAAAAAAAATAAGAAAATACGTAGATTCTGGGACTGAAGTTAGTAGGTTTCCGGAAAAGGCCTAAAATACGTAGATCTACGTAAAAAGACGTAGAGTTGGCAACACTGCTCCACTGTGTCCATCACTTGCTTTCAAGCTGACATCTCACGAGCCTGTTTTCTGAGTCTGAATTTGAATCTGCGTGCACTCTGGCCGTACCCATACACTCGAAAAACAATACCCTCCACAGGCGAGTAAAAAGTAGATTTCGGATCACAAAATTACTTGCGTATTCGTAATCAGCATTGTCGAAAACTATGAATAATATAAATATTATTTTTGGTTTTATTAAAAAAGGCGATTCCGATATCAAAACATCTCTTTTCTCATTTCAATGGACTATATTATTGTAGTATGTTTATGCAGCAGGTTGATTTTTTTCTGAGATAGTAACAGTTTTGCATAAAATTATTTCATCATATTTAAAAAAAAATGTCCAGCTTTGGAACGAACACATTGCGTTAAATATCTTCAAGTGGTCTGAAATGCTAGATATATGACTTACCTATATTGTGGGACAGAGGAGATCATTCTTGTATTTTTTCCAAATAATATGCTCAATACATTATTAGCATTAGCCTAATATTATCCCCACTGACGGAGCACAGCACAAGTTTTGACAGGAGCTCGAGATAATAAGTTTTTTTGGCACCCATCAAATTACCGACCATTGCCAAAGTTGCTTAAACTCCACGATCGCAAGCCGAACGCGCTAATTACCTGGGCTATCGAGCTCCGTACGTACGTACTCAATACGTATGCCATCAAAAACATAACTTGTAAAAACACCAAGGCAATCGCATGAAAGCACAATGTGGTTGCTTTCCAATTACAGAGCATAATGCGACTCAGTGCCGCACAATGCTGAATTATGCTGATGCTTAATTGGAACGTGAAATTGGAACGTGAATTAGTTTTCAAATGCACCAGCAGAGTGCGCTAAGTTCAGTGTTGAAAAAAAAAAGTTAATGTTTGTACCTTCATTTATTTTTTAACAGTTTGAATGACCTTTAATTATTTAAAAAAAACTATTTAATGAAACGAAAGCTTTAATAATTTTTCAACAATAAATATATTACTAACGATAACATATAAATAAAACATTTCGATCAATGCCAACTTAAAGAAAAAACACTTGTTAATTTTCTGTCTCTAAGTTGGTACGATAGCACGCATCACACGAAAGCATCACTTTTGAGAGTGCTCAATTGTGCGAAGCGTTGCTGTAGTTGGAACACTCAACGTTAAGCATTATGCCGCATAATGCGCTATAATGCTGTAATTGGAAAGCAACCTGTGGTAGCTTTCCAATTACAGAGCATAATGCGACTCAGTGCCGCACAATGCCGAATTATGCTGATGCTTAATTGGAACGTGAATTAGTTTTCAAATGCACCAGCAGAGTGCGCTAAGTTCAGTGTTGAACAAAAAAAGTCCATGTTTGTACCTTCATCCATACTTATATTTCTTTTTTAACAGTTTGAATGAACTTTGATTATTTAAAAAAAACTATTTAATGAAACAAAAACTTTAATAATTTTTCAACAATAAATAAAATTACTAACGATAACATATAAATAAAACATTTCGATCAATGCCAACTTAAAGAAAAAACACTTGTTAATTTTCTGTCTGTAAGTTGGTACGATTGCACGCATCACACGAAAGCATCACTTTTGAGAGTGCTCAATTGTGCGAAGCGTTGCTGTAGTTGGAACACTCAACGTTAAGCATTATGCCGCATAATGCGCTATAATGCTGTAATTGGGAAGCAACCTGTATCTCACATATTATATTATATTATAATGCGATTCAACCAAGAATAGGAACGACGGGGCGCCATATTGTGACGTCATAGCTGTCATTTCAAACGAAAAAGGGAGAGTGAGCAAAAAAGTGTTTATTTAATAAAAGTTATTTACTAAGATTAAGTGAGAAAAAACATCCGATTTTTTAATAAAATTTATTTACTAAAATTGAGGAAAGCAAATAACCGATTTTTAATAATATTTATGTATTAAGACTGTGCGAGAAAAAACATTAATCGGAATTAAGCTCTTCAATTCCGCTCATCTCGGCATTACCGCCGGAGTAGTTATGAATAACCATGCACTATTACTAGGTCACATACGAACATGCATTCTATATGTAAACCACAGTTTTATATCGAGTTTCTGAACGCAACTTAATGTAACATTTGGTTGACGATTTAGGTTATCAAACATTCATAGCCAAAGCTCAATAAATGAAAATAAAATATCAACTAATATTAATTAACAATATTTGTTATTGTTTATTTACAAATGTTGTCATAATTATAAATACATAAATAAATATACAACATAAATGTCCATAATTAGCTGAGTGCCAAAAAAGGGTTCCAAGATTTTTTTGCAAGCCGTACTTTTCAAGCGACATTTGACAGATGGAGGTCATTGGCTTTCCTATTCTTAATTGAATCGCATTATAGATTGTTGAGTGCGAGCGCCAAGTCAAGTTATTTATTTAAAACATACAAGATTTTCAATATTGATATGGTCAGTGTAAGATGTTGTTAGGTGAGCTAATTTCGTAATAACTTAAGACAAATGACACATGATAAAATTATTTCTTAAACCACTGAAAAAAGCATCATCAGTAAAACAAATAACTTTAATTCACTGAAGTATATTAATTCGCTATCCCTATTATATTAAACAAAGAATAAATAAGCTTGGGTTAGTGACGCAGTGTTTTGTGACAATATAGTGCGTTTGCTAATATTAAGGGTGTAAAAGCAATGAAATATAGGCAGGGTATCCGATAAAAGGCAGCAAAATCAGATGGAAAGATTTTTTGCACAGCCATATCATTTGCAAAAAAAAACTTTGAATTTTGTGCATAAAAATAATAAGTACTAAAACTATAAATAAGCTTTCAGATAGATATTTATAAATGAAATATTATGTTTTCATTATAAACAAACAGTATGTTCATTCATCAAGAACTGTTCATTCTTTTAATTTTGTGTGGGTGTACGCTACATAAAAATTGTTATCATGTGTGCGTTTTTGGTTTGTGTGACGTAGTTTTTGAAGTGAGCGTTTATAGCAATAACACGTTCGTGTTTGTGGGATTATTGCATATTTTCATTAGTGTGCTATACGTGTGTACCTCGTCCCGCACCAAAAAAGGGGAAAAATTTTATTCGGCGAGTGAACGCTGTGGCGTCTCCAGTCGTAAATGATCTAAGGTAGTTATGGATATAGATTTGTCGTCCCAAATATTGGATGACTACTTTTCACGTGGCTATTTGTATTTTCAATTACAAATCAACCTACTTGATGTCCTTATCATTTTTTGTACCTCTGTACTTTTGTAGGGAATGAAAATTAAAGACTCGCTTCAAGTAAATATACAAATAGTAAATACGAATAGTCATGTGAAATGCCGGCATGATGTTGCGCATTGCCTCTGTCAATGATAAAAATTAAAAGAAGTCCTCGTGGAGTCCTCAAGTTACTTACTATGTTCCTTGGGAGTCCTAAAGTCGTTTATGACATAGACACCCTGTCCAAGTTACATCTACTTAGATAGTGATCTGTGAGTTGCATATTATATAAAAATAATATTTGCAGTTTTATCTATAACGGAATGCTATCTCTATAGGTTTCAGTCAAGGAACTTATTTATTAGTTTTATGATAACTTATTACTAATTGTTTGGTTTCAGTCATAGAGAAAAGTAATAAACTGGTTTCAGTAAAGGTTTCAGTACTCAGCTGTTGTACTCAGACTCAGGATCCTGGTCCTGTCAACCAGAGGTGGTTAATATAGCGTCTAGCGCCATATTATAGCGCGCTATTTGTCCATAGCACGTATCGCGTGCTATTTAATAAAGCTACAAGACGCTAACGCTATATAGCACATATTGAGTTCATTGACCGCGCGCGGCAGCGGACAGGTGGGAGGCGCTAGACGCGACTCTACCAGGCAGGCCAGCCAGTAATCGCGTGCGCGTTGATAGCAGCGGTTCGTTACTATTAATTTTCGCAACGTCGCGTCGCAGCAGGAAAACATTTATTATCGCGTTTCTAACATTATTTTTTATAAGAGTGTGTGTTTGTGATCACGAAATAAACTATTAACAACCGCATATATAAAAGACGATATCAAAATAAATAAATATCGTTAAACATTACATATAATATTTAAAATTAGTTAGCTAAAGCTTTTGTGCCAAGGGAATCGGAAAAAATGGCGGTACAATAATAATCTAGACGTGCGAAAATAAATAAAAGAAATAAAAATAGTAATTGTATTAGCTGACCCGACCAGGCATCGAACCCGGGATCCTGCGAGATTGTGACGCAATACATAATAAAACTCAACGATATCTAGCATCTAGCGTGCTGCAAGATTTAACGCGCCAACGGACCCGCCACAAGCTTCCAAGTAAAGAGCGCGCTATTAACATAGCGTATTTAATAGCGCGCTTTTTAAAAGTAGCATATAGTTTGCAGCACGCTATTGCTTTATAACTACTTTGAACAACTCTACTGTCAACACGTCAGTCTGTCATCCACAGATTACATACAATTGTCTTATAATGCTGTCGCTTTCTGTTTAACTTCTAATTTTTCTGCCCACGGCGTTTGACTTAGTTGAGTTGAGTTTTAGAGGTTTGTGAAATTTTCATTATAATTTTACTGACCATTGTAAGTGTAACGTTTTTTTGATACGCTTATTTGTTTTGCCAATATAATATTTTATATACTATTCTAAGTGAAAGTGTAGAAAACTTGAGTTCTTTAAATATGTACCAATATTTCGTGTCGAAAGTCGAAACACTTGATTTCTCTTTTACACGTCACTTACTTAATTATTTTCAGATTAATACTGCAAATGCAATAGATACTGCAATTGAATGAAATGTAGTTCCCAAGTTAAGTGCTGTATTGGGACAGTTTTTGAAATCAGACACATTGTTTGGTATCGGATGTATGGTAGGTAGTTGTTACACATTTTTCCCATTACTTATTAACAAAAAAATATATATATGTCAGAGTTAGGGCTTTAAATTGTTAAGCTATAGTTGTTTTATGTTATTTTCTTGTATTTAATGTAATTGTAGTGAGCATCTGAATGAAGAAAACAGATTGAGGTAATTAATCAAATAAAATTATATACCTATCTATTCTTAATTTTTCAGGTCAATCATGGCTGATAAAGAACAGGTTGTACAAGCCCTCCGTGCTACCCTAATATCTGTTAAAGGAGCATTGACTATAAAACAGTGTAACCGTAAGTATTCTAATATAAAAGTCTTAAAACCAGGATTTTTTCTTAACACACATCTGAATAAATGTAATCAGCATGAGCACCACAATTTGTTAAATAATGCGTTTTTATCACACTTGATTGTTAAATTACTATGGAGTTTGATGTTATAAAAAACATGATATAATGTAAATTGTAGTGCTTATGTTATGGTGACTGAATCTCATAAGTTAATACTACTATGAAAGTGCATGAAAACTTACAACTTATGCTATCTTGATAATACTTAATTGTATTTTTATGTTCAAATATCAGTTAACCCTTGTTTGCAAAGTACTTAATAAATAAGTATAGTATAGTAATTAATAATATGTGAGATATTGAGAAATAAAACTGATAATAATTGCTAATTGAAGTACTGTTATAGTCTGTTTTATCACATGCAATTGTCAAAAAACTATGGGGTTTGACAGTAAGATGTGATAAAAAAACATGATATAATGTAAATTGTGGTGCTCATGCTACAGGGACCACATTTTACTCGTGGAAGTGTCACTTGCGCAAACCATTAGTTTAGAAAAAAAAATAAAAACTCAATATCATTTTTGAAGACCTATGGCTACCCACATGTTTGGGTTTGATGAAAAAAAAAATGTTTGAGTTCGAGTATGGGGAACCCCCAAAATTTATTGTTTTCTTTCTATTTTCTTTTGAAAATCTTAATACGGTTCACAGAATACATTTCCTTGCAAAGTTTCAACAGTACCCCTAGCACGAACCATTATCAAATTCGAATAGTTTGCAAACCGAAATGTCAATGTCAAATTTGGTATATTGAAACTTGTACAGTAGATCCACATAGTGCGTAATGTGAACTAAAAATCAGTACACATTTGACAATGACATTTCGGACTCGCAAACAATTCGAATTTGATATTGATTCGTGCTAAGGGTACTGTATAGTTCATATAGTTTCGGAAAAAAAGTGACTGTGATATAAGGACTGACAGACAGACATGACAGAACCCTAAAAACAGGTATTTTGACATCGGCACGTGTACAATCCGGTTGTCCTTGGACATAGGCCTCCTCCAAATTGGCCCATTGGTTCCTATCTGTGGCTGCTCGTCGCCAACTCTTGGGTAGATCGTCTTCCCATCTTTTGTATTGTCTACCTCTTCTACGTTTACCATCTCGGGGGTACCACTCCATGATATCTTTTGTCCACTTGTTCCTCTTCGACCTCATGATATGCCCAGTCCATCTCCACTTCAGTGTTCTGGCCTTTCTGGTTACATCTACCACTTTCGTCTTTTTTCTTATGGCAGAGAGACGAACTTTGTCTTTTAGTTTGATACCTAACATACTTCTTTTTCGATTCCTTGTTGGCATACTTTTGTGTTGTATGTTTTGAGTAGGACCATGTTTTTTTTTTTTTTTTTGTTTTTTTTTGAATACAATTACTCCATAGGCGTATGCCCATGCCATTATTTAGTTTGACTTTTTTAAGTTTTGTTATATTATACATTTGTTTGTGCACTCAGTGCGGCCTTTTATATTTAATCATGCAAACATGCGGCATGCTCACTTATGTCTACTTAACTAATAATATTAATAATATAATTTGGACATATTGTCCATCCCCTTTTTAATAAATATTCTATTATATGTATACACTTTTTTTTTTTTTTTTTCACTTATTATCTATTGTACATGCTTTGTGGAACAAAAGGATTTTCAGTTTATTCTATGTTTTTGCGGTCTCGGGCTCCTGCGTGAGTCCCCTCTCCTTGTCATCGCATGCAAGGGCCCGAGTTTCGCTATCTTTTTGGTAATTATTTAATTTTATTTGTTTCTATGGTACAACATTTACTGCTATGTTTTGCTAAATAACTTAAGTCTACTTGTTTCCTTAATCTATGTTAGTACATGTTTGTGTTATTTCCTTATGGTAAAAATATGTCATGTCCGGTGTGGGGAGGTCGGTCCAGATTTTGCTATTTCAGACTTCAGTCAAATTTCTCATTATATTTACAGTGTCATAGTCTCTCATACGTATCGCACTTTTGGTGTTATAACGGATTATTGTCTCCGTGGCCGCGCCTGTCGTTCGCTTTATGAAGCGGCTTACTGCGTCATCGCTGTCGTCTGTGTAGTAGCAACAGCTGTGTGTATGTCGAGACACAGCTACCACGGCGTGCGGGATGCTGTCGTGCAGTTTCGTTCGAATCCCCTTGGTTCTTATGATGCAGGTGTTCTTGCATGTTTGTCCCTGGGCTTCGTGTATGGTAAGGATCTTGGATCCAGTCCCACTTCCATAGCCTTTGGCGCTCAAGGTTCCCTTCTCCTCTTGTGTATGTACTAGATACAGTGTATCTGGGAGAAGGGGTGGGATATTTGCCCCGGTATATCCTGTTAGATGGAGCGACCGGATCCGGGGTCTGTCGGAATATATCCCGTCATACACAGCGCTCAGGGCAAACGCGACATCCAGGGGGTTTCTCCTGGTGCAGAGCAGCTCTCGCGTGATATTTGCCACAACATGCGGGGTCTCGTACCTCAGACGGAACAGGTTTTCTCTGTCAATGTAGGGCAGCTGATTTATGTCGCCCAGAAGTACGACCCTCTGTGCTCCTGTTATGCGGGTGATGAGGACTAAGGAGCCAAGGTGGTTCATGAGAGCCTCATAGTAGGACCATGTTTGGCATCCATAGGTGAGTACTGGAAGTATGCAAGTGTCGAATACTTTCTTTTTGTGTAGGCTAGGCATATCATTGATTTTCATTATTTGTTTCAGGGACCAGTATCGTGACCATGTGTTACTAGTTCTACGCTGTAGTTCTTTTTGCATTTGTAGTTCTGTTGCTATCACTTGTCCCAAATATATATATTCATCAACGTATTCAATAAGTTCATTTTTTATTAGAATATTTATTTTGGGACCATTGGTCATGACCTTGGTCTTTGTCAGGTTCATGGTTCACCCTGCTTTCTCACTTTCCTCCGCAAGTTTTATCAGCATGTGTTGAAGCACTGCTGGACATTCCGTAAACAATACAAGATCATCAGCAAACCTTAGATGGTGTAATTTGGTACCATTGATGTTTATTCCCAGTTCATCCCAATCTAGGTTTCTGAATATTTCCTCTAAAACTGCAGAAAACAGTGTAGGAGACAGAGGGTCCCCCTGTCTTACTCCCTTCTCTATTCTAAACTCTTCTCCAGTTTTCTCTAGCTGAACTTTTGACATACTTCTTCCATATATTTGCGAAATTATTTTTATGTATTTATGGTTAACCCCCTGTTTGTGGAGTGCTCTATATAAGAAATTGTGATCTAACGAATCGAATGCCTTGCTATAATCAACGAAAGCCAAGTAGTATGATTTTCTGTATTCGTTGTATTTTTCAATTACTTGTTTCACTACGTGTATATGGTTGATAGTGGAAAAGTCTCTGCAGAAACCAGCTTGCTCTCTGGGTTGCTGTTCATCCAGACATTTTGTTAGTCTTCCGAGTAAGATTTTAGCAAATATTTTATACATATTCGACATTAGACTAATAGGTCTATAGTTGTCTATCTGGTTTTTATCTCCCTTTTTATGGATGAGAATTATTGTTGATTTAGTCCATTGTTTAGGAATCTCCTCTTTATGTAGGATCTCATTAAATAGGCAGGTTAGACTTGGTCCTATGATGTCTACAGTCTCCTTTATGAGCTTGTTGGTAATCTTGTCATCTCCTGGAGCTTTATTAGATTTTTGTGACATTACAGCTTTTCTGACTTCACTGGTTAGGATGTCTGGTATTGCTTCATCTTCCCTTGAGAAATCTTCCATAGCTGAATTGTCCTTTCCTTTGGTTTTACAATAGAGATTTTTGTAATAATTTGTTGCAACAGTGCCTATTTCTGATCTATTGCCAGTAATTGTGTTTTTTCCTTGATGGTCTTTAGTTCTCACATTTGGCAACCAGGTCTTATGGTCTTTAAGTTGTTTCCATGCCTTCTTTACACCTCCTGTTTTCTCTATTTCATTTTTTATTATGTTTAGTTTGTTTTCTTTGTTGTGTTTTCTAATACTTTCTGTGATTTCCTTGCTAATGGTTTCAATTCTCTTTGTATTATTTCTTCTGTCGTGAAAAAGGGTTTTTCTTATTTCTATAAGTCTTCGGGCATTTTCGCCAATTCTGTCTTTCCTTGTTTTATTCTTTGTCATTCCTTTACAGATATTCAATATAAAGTTCTCCATTTCATCGTATTTTTACTCAGTTGTTTTTTCCGACTGCATATCCGGTATCATTTTTTCCAGTTCCGAGTTGACTTCATCTGTCAAACGAGGCACTATTTGGTGTATGTCACAATTAAAGTATTTCCTTGTTTTTCTAGTGTTCTGTGTTATTATTGTTCCTCTTACCATTCTATGGTTTGTGTTGAAATTTAGTCTATTAATGATTTCTACATTGATAAATTGGTAAGGCATGTTGGTTAGAATAAAATCAATGGCATTCTTATGTTTTCCATCACGAGAGATCCAGGTCCATTGTCTTGCTGTTTTTTTCTTGAACATACTATTCATTATTTTGAGGTTATATTCCATTGCAAAATTGCATAGCCTGCTACTATTTCTGTTTCTTTTGCCCGTATTATATTGACCGATTATATGTTCTTCCCCTTCCTGTGCTGCTCCAATTTGGCTGTTGAAGTCTCCTATCAAAATTTTTTGTTTGTGTGTTACCTCCATCGTTTGGTGTAATGCGTTGTAAAATTGGTCTTTTTCTTCTTCTGCGTTTTGTTCAGTTTGTGCATATACTTGGATAATCGAAACAGCTTTATCAAGACCGGGTAGTTTTATGTTAAGGACTGCAATCCTATCAGACTTACTTTGGAATTTTTCTATATATTCTTTATGTGGTTTTTTGACTAAAAATCCAACTCCATACATTCCCTGCTTTTTGCCATTAAAGTAAAGTATATAGTCGTCGTATTCCCTTATCTCTTTCCCATTCGCCTTACTTCGCTGATTC